TTAATTTCTTGCTGTTGTACCCTATCCTCTGACAAAGAACATTGTAAACAAACATTGGAATGTGTTATCGGAGTGTCATCCGGATATTGAAGAATTTAAAAACGAGCCAATGTCTGTCTACAAACGAGCTCCATCATTATGTGATAAGTTGGTAAGGGCTGATTTACCTATGTCACCCACACAAGTATCACATAAGAGTGGTAATTTACCTTGTTACAACTGCATATGTTGCAACTCCATGATCAAAGGATCAGTGTTTTTATCATCCATATAGTGGTAAAAGATATTCTATCAGTTTGTGACATGCACCACTTCATTTGTAATATACATTCTCAAATGTCCATGTGGGTTGTTATATGTGGGGCAAACCACTCAAAAAATGAAGGATAGATTCTCGAAACACAAATCAACGATAAGGACGGGTCTTTTAGAAATATCGATACCATTGCACTTTATAGAAGCCCATCACAACGTCTCCCAATTAAGAATCCAGATTATTAAACATATTCAAGAAAATCTAAGGCTGTGGGATAGACGAAAGAGATTACTGTTGAAAGAAGCATTTTGGATTAAAGAACTAGAAACTCTTCACCCTAAAGGCCTAAATCAAGAATATGATCTCATCATGTTTATTTGAAACTTAATATTAATATGTACATTTTCTTTTTTACAGATTCTCTTCAATTTGGTGTGCTGGTGTTGGTGGTAATTTTTCAGATACACTTCACTTTTATTCCTAATGGTGCATTTTGTACAAATATTCCTTTTAAGATGCGTAAGAAACAAGTAACTTTTTCTGTCCAAATTAAAATAATAATAAAAAAATTTTAGATCCAGATTAGAATGACATTCTTACTAATTAGAGACTTTTTTCACTATATATATATATATATATATATATATATATATATCAATTAGATTGATAATTAACACAATAATATTTATATATAATCATCAACCTTTTAATTTGGAAGATGTTTGTTTTGTTTGTGCTTTGATTAGATGTGGATATCAGTCCCCCTTTATTAGATTAACCAATTGTTTATGCACTTTAAGTTTGGTGTATTTATACACAATTATAATATATGCACTTTAATTCGTTTGTGATGCACTTTAATGAAATTGGTACACTATAAATTTATCATATATGCACTTTAATGTATTTGAAATGGACTTTAATAAGATCAGTGCACTTTAAATTATTTATACACATATGCACTTTTATTTATAATATATGCACTTTAATAAAATTGATGCACTTTAATTTACAGATATTGCACTCTTAAGTATGATACTCCATTTTTTTTTAAAAGGTTCTTTTGTACTATATGTACACTTTATTATAGTATACTTTATTCTTCAACATGATAATGTTTTATTTTTAATATAATAGGATGTTGGTCCAGAAGATACATAGATATATACATTTTCTTTCTTTAATGACCTTTTACTCATCAGTCTAGATAGTCTCATTAATTTAGGACATGATATGTTATTTGCTGCTAAAATTATTAAATTATTCAAATTTTCATATAAATTCCAAAATGCTTACATCCGTTTTGTTAATGTGTTATAATTGTACAAGACAGTGACAGTTGACAGAAATTCTCAGTTATTGAAAGTTAGAACTTTATATATATCTACCTGTATTTTTCTTTGAGATATTTTTAAATTTTTCAACTAATTTTAGTTGTTAAGTCCAAAAGAATCGCACCTAGGTACAGTTCAAAGGGTCCAGGAGCTGTTATACCCAATAATGGCTTGTGTATAGAATGACTTGCAACAATTTTTCAAATATAGCAACAATATGTATGGTGTGTACAGCTTTAAACCTGCTAAAGGCAGGTCCAGTATGGTATACACCAAATAATCTACTTATCTTAAATAGTTAAATAGTGAAGAATAACAGCATGAACAGCTGTTTTCCCTTATATATTGAGATATAGCAATACTGTCAATCCAGATCAATATCTCTTTAAATCCACTGATAGTATATTAACTAAATAGTATGCTAAGAGTATTACTTCTAGTTTTATGGATCTAACGTAAGTACTGCAAAAATTGTAATATGAATCACAAGAAAAACAATAACTTGTAAAAAAAATTAGAGAAAACCACTAAACTCTAATGCTTAATGATAAAACTCAAAGAATTTTAATTGAAATCCAAAACATATCAAAGAATGATAAAAATATATATAAAAAATTGAAAAATTTATAAAATATAGGTCAGGAACGATTAGCAAAAGGGTTACCAGCAGAAGGATAGTATTGTGCTTTACATAGTCACAGAGTCCGGCTAGGATGGATATGGATTTAATGTAACAGAAATGTATCTCTGTACTTGCCGGCTGCCGGTCGGGTTGGCGTGCGTCCCAGACCTCACTCTGGGTGGTAGGTCGGTCCCCTGATTGACGGTTCTCTCTGGTTGAAAGAGAGAAATTCCTTCTGCCGGTTTAGCTTTGCTCCGTATCCTGCTCGCTGGTATCAATCAGTCTAACGCGTTTCGTGGGTGTCAGCCCCACTTCCTCAGAGACGTGGTGAACATCAGATGCCGGGACATGGTTTATATACACATCCAGCATATTTACATAATTTACACATGTTGTTACAGTGAAACATTTAAAATAGAATAAAAATATATACTTAAAAACATAGATACATATATCTAAATGTTACATAAATTGAATAAGTATATAGATTGATAATTAAAGTAAGAATAAAAGTGAAAAAAATGAAAAGAATAAAACTAGAATAAAATAAAAAATAGAAGATAGAATTAGTGGTTTTGAAATCACAAATTGGAAATAAGAGAATAATAAATCATATATTTCATAATAATAATAATCGTCATAAAAGCAGTACTGTGGGGGGGGCGGGGCTAGCGGCTGAGCTGACAAGACACATGGCACCCGAGCTCCGGCAGAACTGCTCTACAAAATCCTCACGGCTCACCCAAAAAGCCTCCAGATACCGACAAATCACTTACGGAGGATACACCAAGCAATGGAGAAGCACTCCAAAAAACCCCGAGGGCAAAACACGGGCCACACACAAGATATCGGGCAGCTCCTGTCCCAAGCATGTAGGCCCAAGATAGCGGACGCCTACCACGACATGGGGATGGAGTCACTTTCGGCATCGGATGACGAATACCTTGGTGACATACCAACCCAGATACCCCAACGGAGGCTGCAGAATGCACAGCCGAAACAACCTGACCACCAACTAGCCACTAAGGTCGACCTGTCAGGGATGGTGACAGACCTCAAGGCCTTTTTCGCGGCAGAACTCGCAGGCCTCAAGTCTGAGCTGAATACGCTCACGGGCCGCATACAAACTGCAGAAGCCGGGGTCCAAGACCTGAAAGCCCAGCAAGAAGCTACCGCCAATCAAACGCTGGAACTAACAGCCATGTGCACGCAGATGAATAACCGAATGGGGCAGCTGGAGGATGCAGCAAGGCAAAAAAACCTCAAGGTGAGGGGGATCCCAGACACCGTAACAACAGAGGAACTACCGCATCTCATTAAGAGACTGCTCCAGGCCGCCCTGCCACTCAAACAGGCCAAAAGCATAACTCTAGATGGCCTATTTCGCATACCGGGACGCCAATGCAACGCACCTGATTCGGCAAGAGATGTCATATTGAACTTCAAAACCCGTGCAGACAAGGATGGCTTTCTCAGGGCCGTCAGGGGCCAGACCCCATTTGCATTTGAAGACCTCAACCTGAACTTTTATCAAGACCTCAGCCACCAGACGTTACAATGGCGTGCATCCTTAAAAGAAACCACGGCACAACTAAGAACAGCAGAGATACCATATAAATGGGGATACCCAAGGCTTCTTATCGCTACGCGAGATGGGCACAACCACCGACTGGCATCACCGGAAGAGGCTCCACAATTCCTGCAGGCGCTGGGCATCCAACGGAAGGCAGGGGCCAAGACAAGACCTCCACACAAGTGGGACTTTACCCCTGCGGGACAGATAACACCAGCGGGACAAGGGCCAGTGCAGCCCCGGGTAACTTGAACTGACTGAGCAGTCGTCGGATAGAGAGACATTGCAACAATAACCTCCATCCTGGTGTTGCCACATATTGGGCGAGTTGGAGCTTGGCTCCCACATTTACGTGTTATGCTTTGCTTTATTGTGTTTGTTTTGCATTTTTATTTCTCTTGGTATTCTATTTGATTACTTATGGTTTAATATCAACAACCTAATTTCTCATCGTATAGACGGATATCTCACGTTAAGGAACCATTATACATATAGTGTCATTAAGCCCACGGTACCAATGTCACGAAACCCCACTCAGCAGCCAGGCAGATGGCCTACCTTCCCCCCCCCCCAGACTTCAGGGTTAAGGAGTCATTAAACCATGCCACATACCACTATTGCCTCTAGCCGCTATAGCGCGCACGCCCCTAGAGCTTGTCCCCAACCCCGCCCAAAGCTAAGGAGGACAGGGTCAGATGACAATACGGCCATACAGGCCACCAGAAGCGGCACTGGCAAGGTTACACCACCTAATATACTCTAACCTGTTACATATTCACCTTTAGTTCTTGCATCACTCAAGAAAATTATAAAAATTGTGCTACTACCTGCTTTAGTATGTCACACTTCTGTTTAACTATGTCTTTAACTACTGTGCACGCAGCTGTTGTTGTGACACTGCCTGCTCTTGTGTTTAACTTGCACTTTCAAAAATAAAAAAATAAAAAATAAAAAAGCAGTACTGTAATATCATTGGATCGCTTGTAAATCCTTTATTTAGTAGAGATTATACATCTTAATTTTATATGACCCAATGATCCAATGGGTGAATTCCTGTTTTTGTCCAGTATTTTGAGCGACCCACAGGAAGTCAGAATCCCTCAACCCTGTGTGTTGCACTAGGCATACCGAATTTTTATACTTTCATTTTAGTTGCTACTTATATCCTTATATATATATTTTTTTTAATTTAGTTTTTTGTGTGTGAATGTGCAAACTTCTTTGAGGATCGGTGCGTGTACAATACAGATAGTATTGTTTCTGCCATACAAGCTTTTTGATAAGTTGTATCCCGAGTTCCTGGAATACACTGTTCGTGAAATGAATAAAACCACTGAATGGGAGATCACACAAGGGAGTCGTGTGTCTCTCATTAACGAAATGGTAACAATGTAACTGCAGATCTTTGCTCATGAAAGCCCAGCGGTGTTTGGTCGTCGAGTGCCTGGAACTAAAATTGGCTACTCAACCACATGAACACCGCTGGACTTCCATGTAATTCGTACACCTTACCCTTTTGTACAAATAGAGCACCGTTCGACAAACTTTAAACTCACCAATGCTTCTGTCCCAACAGCCCACCTTCCACTGTATAGTGTCATTCGAATGGCTTTACTATTCTAGTTAATGGATCTGAGCAGTATTTCGCCAGATAGTGCGCTCAGATCCCAGCTATTCAATGAAGTGTCATTCGGCTAATTCTGAGTAAAATTGTATCAGTTATGCATTTTTATGTGAAATGGTATATTTTGCTGTACGGAGAGATAATGTAATTAACAGTATATTCTTGCGCAATTATCTCTCCTGTACAGCAATGTATAATGGGAAATAGCAATGCAGGTTAAGTTTTCCACAGAGTCCACCCAAGGAAAACCCCTGCAATGCCAGTATGGAAACCCCTTGCATGGGGACTTGTATAAATATGGTGACATTGGAATAAAGGCTCAGTTGACTCCCAAACTATGTGTCGTCTAGTTCTTGGGAAAAAGGGATTATTACTACGCTACCTGTGTTTTACATGCTGAACCCTGACTACCAGCAGAGATGCCGTGGATTAACCTACTACTCCGCTACAGCATAGCTGACCTTTTGTTTACTAAGATTTTTTTTCAATTTAGCTACTTTGGCCCTAAATTTGAAACTCACTCTGGATTTACAACAACTTTAACTTTAGTAAATAATCCTTTATGCCTCTGCTCCCTGACATGATGCCATATTCCTGGGTCCTGACGAGCCAAAATAAAGCCAAAAAAAATGTAAACACTTACATTTCTGTGAACATATACATTTTCAGGAACACCATTTTAAATCAGATCTGTCAATTTACATATTAGACCCACAAAAGAGACAGATTCCGTGTGTGTCCGGTGTGTGGAGTGCAGGGGAGGCGAGTTTTACTTACCTCCAGCTATTCCTCACAGCGGCCACCATCTTCATACCGCAGGTCTCTGCTGGGATTGGATAAAAGTTGACAGAGGAGTTCCTCCTTTTATCAACTTTTGTCAATCTCACGCTTTACCATAAAACAAAGTAGCCCTTACATTTTCTTATGAGATCTTTGGATTGCAACGGAATTTCATTGACATTCTAACAGTCTTTATTGCTATTTTTATAAAGATCATATCTTTATGAAATGCTGAAAGGCAACAGATTCATTTTAATACTTTCAAGACTAGGGTGGTCTGATTCATCATGTTTTCCTGGAAACATATCTTGTATGTATACTGATGAGAAAGATATAAAAAGTGCAGGCCAGAGATATGTAGAATTCAAACGTAGCACCGAGATCATAGTGATTGAACCTACCTCAGGGCATCACTTTTCATGTGCTTCCAATTAACATGAAGAAAACATGATGTACCTGGCAAACCTACTCAATACTTTGTTATATAGTCAAAATAAAATATAGGCTTATCTAGTCTTGAAGGTTTTCTTAGATGTAATTTTGTAGCTATAGCTAGTTAGCTGCATGTGTTTGCCCATGCATGAAATATGCTCCCTCAACTATATATGTCTAGGATTCACATGCTGCAGGTTATGAATCAATTAACTAATCATGGGATCCATCATTGCTTAAATGCTGCATATGATTTCTATACACTGCATATGATTGCTGTATACATCAAGAATAATTTAGAGGATTTGGTAATCCTATATTTTATTTATACATAATTATTAGCATTTATACAAGAGACATGGGTTAGTCCTACTCTATAAAGAGCAGGTTAAGTTTTCCACAGAGTCCACCCAAGGAAAACCCCTATTTTTGGCATGATGTTTGGGGAAACACAGCTGTGGGTTAGTAAATTCACTCATCTTCATTTGCAGTTGTTTTACATAACACTCTTAGTTTGAAGTCTCTTTCATTGTTTGTTAATGAGCTTTGAGTGGTTTAACAACCCTCTATCTATTGATGAAATGTAAACTGATTGCATATGTTTATGCTAATATATCATTGTGAAATCTTTAATTAAATTGAAGGGTCTGGGCATTTACAGGACACTCCTAAAATCATTGGATTTACACTCTGTATTTGAAACCAACTTCATTAGTACTATTTTTTTTTTTTTAACCTGCAGTTAGGTATACAGCACAATGAAAATTCAGGAATTCTAGTGCAATGCAAATTCATTTTAATGAGCTTACTTAAAAAAAAAAAAAAAAAATTCAAATTTCTTACTGTGTAGCAGTTGATACTCAGAAGAATACAAATGCACTTTGTTGTTTTGGTTTTGTATTTTATTGTAAAATTCAATATAAATTCACATATGAAAAAGAGTACAATCATATTTCAGAGGCCTGTTCGCAGGGCCAAACATTGTATGTGCAAGGTCTGCAGACGTACTGGGTGCCATAGTAACCGAGGCGCCATGGCGGACATCAGTCAATGGTGACAAGGACGCAATACATTGGGATAATGATGAACAAGCAAGTCCCTCACAGGCACATGAACCTGCAGGGAAACACATGTTAATTATTAAAATAATATGCACATTTCTAAATTAGAATAACATGGAGAGTGAAAGTGTTTTGGGTGGCAGTGGCACTGTGGGGTTTGTGGAAATTGCCTGGATAAAAAGATGTTTAATTAGTTCCCAGCTATCCTCCATCTTATCCCAACAACTATTTTATTCTCCACACAATACACCCACCGGTTTTCTCTCTTATTACATGAAGTTCCCTATTACGCCATCATATTTCCCACAGTGTACCCTTCCCACTTCAGCCCCAGAAGTAAAGTGATATGTTTATGGGAGGCACTGTAGGGAATAAGATGGAGTCTGAGCGGCTTTCACACAGTGCCTTCATGCATTCTCCATTTTGTGTGCAGCTGTATCAATCCACCCCAAACAGCATCTTATTTAATTTTAAAATTCCACCTTATTCTCTATGTTGAACCTTGCAACTTCCCCATTTTATTCCCCTCATTTAACACTGTATTCCCCGTCTTACACCCAATAGGGCCACCCAACCTCCCAATCACTAGAGCAGCTCCCCACAATATCCCTACAAGCTTATTCCTCGCAGTGATCCCTGCCTATCCTTCCCATCCTATTCCCCACAGTGCAACCTGTCCTACCAATATTCTTCACTACCATCCTCCACCTGCCATCTTATTTCCCCCAGCGCCTTCAACAAGTAAAGGACTGGCTAGGGAAGGTATGGGGCATCGGGAATGTGTTTTGTACAGGGTGCCGGAAAGCCTAAAGCCAGCCGGGCCTGTAGGTAGTTAATTCTCAGCTATACCTGCCTTTAAAAAAGTCAGGACGTACATAATTATCACCACTGCACAAAACTCATCCCCCTCACCCCCCAAAAAGTACTATCAAAATTAATACAAAATGAAAAAAGTGCACATTTGTAATCAAGGTATGCACCCAAGGTAGGCACTATCTACTTTTCCTTCTGGCAAATCTGCTGCTTTTTACAATTTTTTTAAATTAATATAAAACTCCAACAACAAAATTATCAATGAGAAAGGAAAGATAGGAGGGGGTTTGTATCCGACCTACAGCATTTAAGAAATTGACTTTCTGACAACATGACATATTTAGAGTTACCTGTATTCACAAGTCAGAATGCAGTGTGCATTAGCAAAATTTGGTTAAAATGGCCAGCTCTCATATTTACTAAATGCAAATCTGGTTGAAATTTGGTTAGCTCAACAAAATGTGCACATTTCATTCTGTAGTTTGTACTATTCAATGCCAGTAATTCTCAGAAGTGAAACCTTTATAGCATAGTTATCAACAGAAGGTTATAAACAGACTCACTTTGAACAAATCATTTAAAAGGTGAATTCATTAAACAAATCCACCTTTTATATCCGAACCTACAGAAATCCTAAGTATTTGTCCACTGGCAGAGCAAACAAGTTATTAAAATAATAACTGCACAAATATTGTGAATTGAATAAATCATATTATAACATTGTCTGCAATACATTTCATAATCCTATCTGTCAATTCAGGGGTAGACATGCGTCAGCACTACAGAAGTTGTAAACTACATCTCCCATAATTCTCTTACACTCATAATGCTGGCAAAGCCTTAGGAGATGTGTAGTCCACAACATCTGGAGTGCTGCTGGTTGCTTAGCCCTGCTTTACACAATGCATTCATCTCTTTAAAATTTGTTGTTGCTATATAAGTAAATTCTTATTATTGTTAATTATGGTTACACATGAGCATGTTAACAGCAAAATAATTAATAATTATTTTATTTCTTAGAAACCATCATAATAAACAACAATTTACAACAGAGAAATGGCCTGAGTATCATTTTGTGACTAATTCTTCATATTTTTTTTAAGAAAAAACAGTATATTTTTTATGTGCACTGAACCTTCCATGTTCTTGTTATCAATTAATGCATGTGCTGGATTTTGCTTCTCAAATTCTTATTTTCACACTTTAGAAGGGTAACAAAATATACAAGTTTTTAGTATAAAAATTCCCTTCCTATGGAATAGCCTGCCTCCCGCCATCAGACTCTCCCCTAGTCTTGCATCTTTTAAGAAGTGCCTTAAAACCCATCTCTTTAGGGAAGCTTATGGCCTCCAAGACTAACCCCTACCTCACATACCCGTCTCTTGCCCTCTTCTAAAGAGCAGCCCACCTTATTTGATTGCACATTCCTGTCCTAATGTGTTTTACACCCCACCTCCTATAGAATGTAAGCTCGATTGAGCAGGGTCCTCTTCAACCTATTGTTCCTGTAAGTTTATTTGTAATTGTCCTATTTATAGTTAAATCCCCTCTCATAATATTGTAAAGCGCTATGGAATCTGTTGGCGCTATATAAATGGCAATAATAATAATAATAATAATAATAATAGTAAACAGCAAATGTAGCCATTCTACAGGACATCAAAGTCCTCTATAGAGGATATCACGTATGAACATTGCATATACTTCCATGGATGACCAGTTTTGTTTGCACGCGCCATTCTGTCTTTTTATCGCTTTTTATTTCTCTTTTTTATTTTTATGCTCCTTTTTTTCCCAAATGATTTTACCATTAATTGCATTCACAAAATAAGCCCAACAATGAACGTTACTTGGGGGGAAAAAAAAGCCAAAATTGTAATCTGAAGAATGTTTTTATTTTTATTCCTCTATTTTTTTTTATTTTTAGAGTGACACATTTTTTAACCCTTCAAAAGAGAACCAAAATGAAACAAGAAAATATAGTGAAGGGGCAGTAAGGAATATGTTGGTGCAAATAATGGAATAAAGACGTGCAAAGTGGAAAAACACCAGAAAATCAACCTAAACCAATCAAAACAAAGTGGAAAATCAACCGAAAATCTGAACACAGCACTTTTGCACATAGCACCCTTTATCTTCCAAGGAGCTTACATTCTAAAGGGAGGGGAGTAACAACAGATGGAAGTGCAATGTATACAAAAGAAGGATTGACAGGTATAAAGATAGATGGACAGGTATATAGATAGATTGATAGGTATATAGATAGATTGACAGGTATATAGATAGATTGACAGGTGAGCAATCTATATTTAATGAAAGCTATTAGTTATAAGACTGATGTGACATGCTGCGTTGTAGAATAAAGGGATTATTAGAGGAATCAGTACAGGTATGCATGTCAGACTAGGATTACCTGGGATAACCATCATATTTTTTTACTACATTATTATTATTTATAAAGCGTCAACAAATTACAATGGGATATTACTAGACATATGCACAAATCAATTTCAGCAAATGAACTAATCAAATGCCTGTCTTTATGACTCCACTGGTAGTTAATGGACATGTCAATTAGTTTAGGCGTAGGTTAATAGGAATTTGATTTGTTTTAAATAGCTGAAATGCATGAAGTCTATATATTACTTTTACATGCTGATGGGCTACCCTGCAGTATGTATTATGTGCATGCTACATGGGGGAAGTCCGTTAACTAATCAAGGCAATTGCATTGAGATTGTTCATTGATAGATAATTGATCTCCATATGAAATTATTTAAGCCTATAGTTGCACTCTAGACCTTTCATTTGCTGCCTGTTAGAGTGTAAAAAGAGATTTGTGGTCAGGAGACAATACTTAATCTGGTAAAACAGTGATAAAAATTTGGACTTTTCCAAAGAGAATATTTGCTTTATTATAGAGATGGGTATTCAAAACTAGACTCTAAAGCAAAGCGTGATCGAGTAGGATTTGGGCATTTCATATGAATGAGACATCCCTTGTTCTGATTTCCTGTATGAGTAAGCAGTAGAATAGATGACGATTGGCATGAAATCAGGGGGTGAGTAAAGGTGTGTAGCAGGTAGGTTGTGATTTCTAAATGAGAATGAAGGGAGATTATAATCACATGAATAGCATTTCACATAAGTAGGATACAAATACATTTTATGAAACCACATTACACAATGTCAGTCAATGCAGTCAGGTGTGTTTTTTTTTTTTTTTTTTAATGTGAGAATTCAAGATGACTTTTTTTTTTTTTTAAATTTAAGGCCAGAGTAGCCGAATGGAAAGTATAGCTGACTTGGAGAATTTTTCCAGTTTGGCTATTTTGTCCTTATATTTAAACATTTACTTTGAATTACCACACATTATTTCTTGCACTGTTGAAGGATGTCTTCATGTCCTTCATTCTGTGACTGATAAAGGCTTGAGTCTTGCATGGTAAATTTCATATTGTAAAAAAGTAAGATCTGGCAAAAATAGATAATCAGGAAATTAAAAACTTCCGTTCAACCATAGGGACAGCTTGGCTATTTTTTATTTTTTCATTTTGAATATAAATTGGTTACAATTAGGCGTTTAGTGACTATCCCACCCATGTCTAGAGGGCATATCTCTGACTTTGCAGACTTTGGCAGTGGGGATAGAATGATGTAAGTAAATTGTGGGCAGTGAAACTTTAACATAATTTAACTAAATACAATCAGTCACAGGCTGTCTGCACTGACTAATCTCAACTGAAATTAGAATTCAATAGAACACAGGTTTTTATATGTAGAATTATCAGATATTCAAATGGAAAAGGGGAAGGAGAAACCCTTTATTCCACTACTACAAAATAAAAAATAAAAACTTTTGTAATCTTCCTCCCCTTATCCATCAACTATTTCCCATATTGTGATTTAGAATTTGTGATTTCAGGTCTGATGTGTTTTTTTTCAAATATATTTTATTCTGAAAATTTAACATTGGGTGCAGTAGTAAGTGTTTTCCCATTCAATACTCCTGTTTAACTATGTATTTTCTATTTTTTGGTATTGTTATGTATTTACTTATTTAATGTCAATCATAGAGTAATATCAACTGATTGTTCTATTAAAATTGTAAATGAATATACAAAACCAATTCAATGGCTAGAAAGATTAATTTATTTTTCTATAAATTGTTCTACAGTAAATAGTTATGACACCAATATATTCTCTAGCCTTGAGACCCCAATATAGTCAACAGAGTTGTGCAGTAGGATATAATCTTTTATTAAATGATTTCACAGTCTATAGAAAGACTTGTATAAAATCAGCTTAAGTACATCCTTCGTTCTGTCTGGGATTTTTACTAAAATGAGAATTCAAAGTAAATTCTAATTACATGGGTGGGATAGTCACTAAACTACACATGGGTGAGTTTAGTGACTATCCCACCCATGTGTAGAGGGCATATCTCTGACTTTGCAGTCTTTGGCAGTGGGGATGGAAGGATGTATGTAAATTGTGGGCAGTGAAACTTTAACATTTTATTAAACCCAATTAGTGACCGGCTGTCTGCACTGACTAATCTCAGCTGAAATTAGAATTCAATAGAACACAGGTTTTATATGTAAAGTTCTCAGATATACAAATGTAAATCCATAACAAATGGAAAGGGGGTAGCAAGAAACCCTTTATACCATTTAAAAAAAATAAAAAATAAAAATATATATATATATATATATATATATTTTGGTAATCTTTCTCCACTTACCCATCAACTAGTTTCCATATTGTTAAATAGTCTGAGATTTCAGGCATAATATTTTAATACATTTTGCACTAACAATTTTGATTGGGTGCACAATATTTTTACACTTTAATATAACTGTTTTAACAGTTTTTGTTCTATGTTATGTGTATATTTACCTATCTTACATCGATCTAAGTGCAATATCAACTGCTGGTGCTATTAAAATGGAAAATGTGTATATATACTAAATCAATTTAACAACTTGAAAGATCAGATTATTTTTCAATAAATGGTTGTACAGTTAATAGTTATGACACCAATGTATTGTATTAAATTATTTTCCAGTCTATAGGAAGACTTGTTTTAAATGAGCACTCCAAACAATCATATATTGTAGAATAGGTTACAATTCTGATGGAATTGGGCTTCTGGGTGTTGTAGTTCATTTGCTGACTTTCTACAGAAGAATGCAGATAACTGAACTACAACTCCCAGAGACCTTTGCTGTTCAAATACCTGTTCTGGGATACACTCAGAAATTCTACAGAAAATTTAAGTGAGTAACATGACTTGCTGAATTACTTATTGGTTTGGTGAGAGGTTACTTAACAAATTGCAAAGCTAAAAGTCAGATTTAAAAAGCATAGATGATTTGGAAAGTGTGTGTGTGTGTGTGTGCATATATATATATATATATATATATATATATATATATATATATATATATATATATATATATATATGTATATGTATGTATGTATGTGTATATATATATATATATATATTCTCTCTCTCCCTCTCCCCACCATCCCAAATTTGGTGGGAGAGTCACGATTTTCTGTCATGTCCTGCCTTGGTTCATGCTTTTTGGGGACACCAGGAACCTGTCTCCAACATTCATAGCACGAGTGCATCAATAAACACCCAAGCTATGATTTGGGCACTAGGACCATGCACGAAGCACTGAAATGGAGCTCCTTGCATGATGACTTGCCATTAATTGGGTGGACCCACCCCCTTTCCAGGCGATTCTCAGGGCGGCGGCGTTGGTTGGTATGCAGTCTTGCTGGCGCTCCGACACTGACTGAGGTCATCATTACTATCTCAGCCAATGCAATGCTTTCCCATGGTAAAATATTGAGGTCATCTGCGCATGGACGTCCATCGCTGTCCCAATCAGCATCTCCTCATTACCCAATGCATTTCTATGGGGAGTGTCTGTCTTATTTTTTTTTTATTTTTTTTTAAATTGCAGAACCGCAATAGGAAATCTGGTTCATGGTTGCCGGAGTGATACTCCTTACAGCTCAATGTATGCACTGCCTATAAAACAGAAAACGCAGTGTTTATGGTTGAGTGACCGGGACGGTGTCTTTGTACTAAAACCAGTACCTTCAGCTTCAGTGGTTGTGGTGCTTAGTGTTTAATTTTAAAGGTTTATAACTAAATCCCATTGTAACTGTCGAATATATTTGGGCAATATGGTTTACATTGCTTTTTCCCTTTAAAAAAAAAAAGAAAAGAAAAAAAATAATTTTATTTATGAACTGGTTATTTCTCACTATTTAAATTGTATTGTCTGCATAATACCCTCCCCCCAACGGTTAGAAATGTTAATTTGGCGTCATCGCTGTGACGTCACGCCGCTGGATGTGGGCGTGGCCAGACGCCGAGGCTGTATTTATAGGCCGCCGTGTCTCAGTGCGGAAAGTTTGGTTGGTCGGTGTCAGAGCGCGCCCCCTATAGACAGCACGGAGAGCTGCTCGCAGTGTCAGACAGAGGGCGCTCTGCGCATGCGCCGGGGGCGGGGGGCTCGGCAGCGCTGTGCTCAGACTGGGCCTCTGCAAGGCCGGAGCCAGCACCGCAAACAAAGCAGCACCTGCCCGCCTGCATCGCTGTCCGCCGTGCGGGGCCCGGCCGGGGAGCTATCACAGGCCCACACCGCTTCAAACTGGGGGGGGCCGGCGGCTCCAAGATGGCTGTGGAGAAGATGGAGCTGGACATGGAGATCCAGACTGTGCAGAGCGAGGCGGGCATGAGGAGGTCCAGCAGCGCCCCGCTCATCAATGGACTCAGGTAGGACTGAGAGGGGAACTGGGAGTGATGGGAGTGGAGGGGAACTGGGAGTGATGGGAGTGGAGGGGAACTGGGAGTGATGGGAGTGGAGGGGAACTGGGAGTGATGGGAGTGGAGGGGAACTGGGAGTGGAGGGGAACTGGGAGTGGATGGCTACTGGGAGTGATGGGAGTGGATGGCTACTGGGAGTGATGGGAGTGGATGGCTACTGGGAGTGATGGGAGTGGATGGCTACTGGGAGTGATGGAGTGATGGGAGTGGATGGCTACTGGGAGTGATGGAGTGATGGGAGTGGATGGCTACTGGGAGTGATGGGAGTGGATGGCTACTGGGAGTGATGGGAGGGGAGCACGGAGGGGGGTGCCTTGCTGTCTGGCCTGGCACGCCATCTATTGGCCTGCTGAGTATCTAGGAGGTGGATGCCAGAGGTGATCATTAAGTTTAGGCCATGGGTGGCCGAAAGGTAAACGCTTATAACATCTGTTCTAGAACTACAACTCCCAGCATGCATTCCAGCCAGGGAGCTCTCAGCTGACCCCACTGCATTCAAGTAGCAGGGCTAGTTCTCTAAATTGAATATGTTTTTGATTTTATTTTTTTATCACTTGGTGCAAAATTGTGAATGAACTGGAAACTTGGACTATTTGTGTGTGTGTGTGTGTGTGTGGGGGGGGGTAGGGTAATGTAGAGTTAATGGTTAAGAAATATAGGTTACTTGCATAATTTCAGCAAAGTGTGCAGCTTGGTGTGCCTTTTTTTAAAAATTATTTTGAGTGTGGTTTTGTGACTTTTTATTTTTATCTTTTTAAAATAAAATATTTATCAAATTGGACAATCAGATTTGCCATCCATCTTCATAACAATTGAAAAATTGCTCTGCTTGCGATCATGCAACAACTTCTGTTTTAGCAATACAAGTTACAAGAACCATTTCTGCAGCTGGTCATGGGTTAAAGTTGAAATTTGAGTTTGAATAGTAAAGTTGATCAATATTTTTTATTTATTTATTTATTTTTTTTTTTTATTTATCTTCCCTTTTAGTGATACTGAACAAGTGTTTCAACCATATACAATTCGGGCACGAAGAAATAGTACAACTACTACTATGATGAATCGTCACAGCATGGTATGTTTAAATTGACACCACTCCTTCAGTGAACAATTCTGAAAATATTTTGGGGAACAATTTGCAATTCTTACTGTCCATGTTCTGTTGCTCAGCATTGGCAAGGGAATGTAGCATATTAAATATTTTGGTGTCATTGTTTTAAATGTTGGCTCAATTGCATTGAACTAAAACAAACCTCACTTGTGTTTTTTTTTTTTTTTCATCAGTGCATTCACATTAAAGGTCTGTTTGGGCACCCTAACATCCTTTCAAGTTGTTATGGTGCCAGGAGGTTCCATGCACTGGCTTACCTTAAGGTTTTAAAGTGTTAAAGTGCAAGCTTCCCCAATTATGCTGTTACTGTGTTTTTCTGTATGAATGGAGCAACATTAAAGGTGCCAGCTAGGAAGTAACCATAGCAAACACAGCGCATGCATTTTAGTTCCTATGCCCAAAAACAGAACCCTCTTCTAGGCAATCCGTTTCATAATTTACTGGTCGTGGAGGGACCTAATTTTAAATGGGGTTTGATTTCAATCTACATAATTGCTAGCTCAATGCATAGGTGTAGTTTAATTTTCTGTTTAAGTACTTGTTGTATCATGACGGTTAATTTCATATTCAAAACCATTTAAATAAAAGTAATTTGTATTTTCAGATACCGATGTCTTCACCAATACGCATTCCCTGCAGCAGACTTTATCAGCTCAGAAGGGTAAGTCATTTGCTGATCTGGCAGGTTTATGGTGTGTTGGTAGATTTAGCTGTATAACTGTTATAAGGGGGGAAAAACTGTTGCTCTTAAATCAGTCTTACTTGCCTTTTTGTAGATCTGGTGATAAGCGCCCATTAAATCATTTTTACCTTTTAATGTTACCTTTGTGTGTTTATATTCGTATTGCAAAAATGTTGACTGCAAGTTTGTCGTACAAGGTTAGGTCATGTGTTTTTTGTTTTTTTTTGTGACCAGATATTTTAGCATCACATCAACTCGTATTTTTACTACCTGTCTCTGAAGCTGGTGTTTATGCAATGGTGGACAAATATCGTCTGCATCCAAATCGAATACTGCTCATTCCGTTTTTTCAAATTGTCTATATCTAAATATATATTTATTTTTGAATATTTTTTTTTCTTCGCAGGAGGAAGGTGCCGATTTGATTGACCGAGAGACTGCAAGTGAACGGCAAGTATTTCCATGTCTGTTTATAGTTATAATGTAGAAACCCTTTTTTGAATATTCACATTTCAAACTGATTTGTTAAATGAACACTTTAAGCACCATAACCACTCACTGTAGTGTTTTTTTTTCCCCTTTGTGTCCTCTCTGTATTGTAAGGAGTCAAACTGTTTTTTGTGTTTCTTACTTAGTCTGTAGTAGTTCTAGTGCTTGGAGTCTGAGTATTTTCTGTAAAATCAATAGAAGTAAATTGTACTCCATAAATTGACATAATTTAATAGAAAAGGTGTGTGTGTGTGTGTGTGTGTGTGTGTGTGTGTGTAAAATATAAATATATATAGTATACCTTATTTTTTTTTGTCGAGTTAACTTTTCATAGAATGACTGACCTCTTAACACAAACTATTCCATGATGCTATCCCAGAAGTACAAATTCTCACTTCATGTATTGATTTTAATTGTCATTGTTTGCCCCCCCAAAAAAAAACACAACTTTTTTTTCACAATACTATCTTTGTTTTCTTTTACAGGGAGTTCCAAGCAGCAATGCAAATGAGTTTGTCCTGGGAAGATAATTTTAACCTGGTAAGATCTGGTTTAATCCTTGTGGGGGCCCCATCTCCTATGTTATCTTACTTTGTAACTTTTGTATACCATTTTGACTTGTTGCATGATGGATTTTGGATCTGTGTTGCATCTTTCCTGTGGGATGTCAATATGTCCATATCATGCTAAAGTAAAAACCTATAGGAGGCATCAGGGCAACCAGTTGTGAAGTACAAACTGAGTTGTAGTATATTTCTCCTACAATGTATCTCTTAAAATACATGTCTTTAAATATTTTGTCTGTGCAATGGTCTGCTTAATTTATAGGTGTGTGAATTTATGTATGTGTATATAAATTACACACATCATTTGTCCTTTATGAATTAAACAGACCATTGCATATAATCTCTCATATATATATATATTTATAGTTATATTTTTTTTGACCTGGAATATTTAAATTTTGTAGATGCTTAAAACACCTGCTTGTTTTGGTTTGACTTAAAGTGAATGTACATGAAAAATAGAATGTAGTGTATGTACTGTTCAAATATTTTTTTTATATATTAAAAACTTGGTTCTGTAGGTACACTTAGAAATTACTATGATACTGTTTTTGTGGGACTAAATGACTCCTATATCTATATGTAACAGCTAATCACATCACAGACTTCTAACTTTTTTCAAGACTACGTAAATAATATTTATATATTTTTTTTTGCTTTTTAGAGTGACAATGATCTTGACAAACTTGAAAAATCGACTTCTCCAAAGCAAGTAGATTTTACTCCTGTATCTCCAGCTCCTTCACCAACCAGAGGAATTGGAAAGGTAACCATTTGTCCACTATGCAACCTAGTAATTCAGTTGCACGTTCTTGCATGCAAAACACCACACATGAAATCCTCACTGGCCTTTATCCTCTAAGGGTATAAAAACTTTGCCATATTAGTCAGAATTGGTATTAAGGGTTTCTATTGTAGATCAGTGTACACCAGGGTGCCCCAAAAGATAGATCCCTTGATGATGTCAAACTAAAACTCCCATGATGCCTTGCATGCCTCTAGAATTCCTTTACAATGACCACGTCAGGAAGCTGTAGTTTTTAAACCTCTGTGGATCTACCTTTTTGGCACTCCTGGTGTACACTGTGCCTCTTGAATACACTAATCGTTTAAAGGGCCACTATAGGCACCCAGACCACTTCAGCTCAAAGTGGTCTGGGTACCAGGTCCCCCTAATTTTAACCCTGTAGCTGAAAACATAGCTGTTTCAGAGAAACTGCTAGACTTACACTGCAAGGTTAATCCAGCCTCTAGTGGCTGTTCATCTGACAGCTGCTAGAGGCTGCGTCCGTGATTTACACGGAGTAAATAGCACTTATTTGAAGCTGGACGTCCTCACGGAGTCCAACGTCAAAGATCCCCACAGGAAAGCATTGGGCGGGTTTGAATGCGTGCATCTATGGGTATGCATTCGGCTCCACTCAGAAGTCGACGTTGATGGAGGAGAGGTCATCAGTGCCAATGGAGCCCGGCGCTGGATTAAGGTAAGCAAATGGTTAACCATTTATTCGTCGTGGTACAGGGCCCTACTCACATAAACGATGTCTTGGGCTCTATAGCGTGTGTGTGATACATATTTGTATATAGTGTTCCTTTAAGGATAAATTAGTGTTAATACAGCATGCATATGTATTGATCTAGAATGACTCCCTATTGTGCCTGTTGGGTTTTATTTTTTATTCTTTCCTGTGGGATAACACCTTGCCTTTTAAATTCTATATTGAAGTCTACAGTTCTCCGGACTGCCAGCAGTAAAGAACAGACTGAGTGGTAGTATTTTACTCCTACAATTTATTCACCTATGTATTGCACCATGTGAGACGTATAACCAAAGTAAAGCTGTTTTGTAATTCACTTCTCTGTAGTTCTGCAATTAGAAGGAATACCTACTCTGTTTATGACGATATTTGTTTTCCATTTTGGTAATCTATATATTTTTTTTTTTTTCTTAGCAGTGTTTCTCTCCATCTTTACAAATGTTTGTAAGCAGCACGCGCTTTCCTCCAAGTCCAATAAACAGTCCAAACAGGCGCTTTGTAACGTAAGTATCTTCTATAGGTTGACAAACTTGCAGTTACAGTTCTTTAAAAGGAATACAGCTTTGTAATTCCTAACACGATATATAGTGTCCCTCTTCCCACCTGCTGCACTCAATGTGTTAAGCAACCTTTTAAGCACTCGTCTTATTCTAGTGCTGAGGTCCCTCAGTGCTGGCTCTTACTTCGTCTCCTTGGTCATTGCGAGGGGGGAACCTAATGCGCATGCATGCCGAATGCACAATAGGCTTTCTCTAAAGGAAAGCATTGAATCTGTTTTCCTATGGGGATTTAGAAGACACTGGACGTCCTTAATGCAAAGTGTGAGGACATCCATTGTCGTTTCACAGACATCAGTAGTGTCGAAGGTTGCTTAAGTCTGCCTTAGTGAATACTGTCTGCTTAATCTCCATTGGTTCCCCCCTTGTCTCATGCATGCTATATAAACATTGGTAGCAGGCTACTTTCAGATGGAACTTTGCTTTAAACTCTGCAAAGTGTGAATTGGTGCAATTCCCTTATAGCAAACTTTTTTAAAATTTTTAATTTTTTTTTCTTCCAACCCCCCCCTTTTCCCTCTACCCCTTTAGACGAAGAAGCCAGAGTCCTATCAACTTAATACGTCCAAGTGCACTGGGCCCTATAAAACGGAAAGGTAGTGTTTCTGAATATTTTTTTAACTGCTACTAGTTAGCGCAAACCTATATAATTTTTTTTTTTTTTTCTGGTTTAATCCTTATGGGCCCCTCTTATTTTTATCTTGCTCTGTAACTTTTCTATATAATTTGTTGCATGATGGATTTTGGATCTGTGTTGCATCTTTCCTGTGGGATGTCAATATGTCCATATCATGCTAAAGCAAAAACGTATAGGAGACATCAGGGCAACCAGTTATGAAGTAAAAACTGAGTTGTAGTATATTTCTCCTACAGTGTATTTATTTTTTTAAAATATGTTTTCATAATTGTCTGCTGAACTTTTAAAGAACAAATGTTTTGCCTAGAATATCCAGCTCCTGGTCTTTAAGGGTGTTTATAAAAATGATTTGGAAAATAAAATCACACTGACTATAGAAATGTCATGCTAAACTTGCTGTCTGTCTTTCCCACAACTCCAGTTGAAGAGGAATTAGGAAATCAACCAAAGAGATTGTTCCAAGGAACTACAAACATGCTTTCATCTGATTGCACACAAATGTCAGATTGCAGCTGGTAAATATCATTTTTTTTTTTTTTTATGTAAAATGTGTGTATAATTTTTTATTTTTTATTTTTTTTCACATACGTTGTATGAAACAGATTGTCTAAGTTTACATTTCTGGAATGAACACCTTTATTTTAACTGAAGATGCAAAATTTAAAGTGTATTCCCTGCTGAGTGTCAAATGAACCTCTTGTGAAGTGGATGTCTCCTTAAAATATGTCTCTAAAACCTTGGTGTGAATGCAATGAGCAGACAGTATGTCAGTTGACGAACAATTGTCCATTTTTGAAATTGGAGAATTGCTCTTAAGCTGGCTTAAATGGTCACTCCGCACTAAGACAACTTTAGCCTAACAATGTTGTTTTTGTGTATAGATCATTCCCCCTGCAGTCTCTCAACTCGATTCTCTGCCATTAAGTTAAATTGTTTGTTTATGCTGCTCTAGTCACACCTCCTGGCTGTGGCTCACACAACCTGCCTTCACACTTCCTGTATAGATCTAAGTAAACACACTGTGCCCTAAGATCTGACTGAAAATGGATTTGCCTAGGCCTGCATAAACCGAAGAAAATGATTTTTTGCAGAGTCTTGATCTATATACCAAAACTTCTTTAAGCGAAAGTGTTTGGCGTATTCACAGTTCCCAGGTATTTTGGTTTGAAGGGAAATGCAAGTCTTGGTTCAACAGCTTCCTGTTGATCCGCTGTAAAAGTATTTCAAAATTTAGATATTGAAAGACTGAATTAAGTAAACTACAGAGAAGTCCTCTGTTTTATTCTCATCTAACAATTTTTTTTTTTTTTTTTACTTTGTTAGCCACTCTTCAGATCTTGACAGCAGTAGCAGCATAAGTTCATCTTGTAAGGAGAGCAGCGTGACTAGTTCCCCAGCTGCCTGTCTTAATTCTTGCTCTTCATTCACGTCACTTGAGGATCTTTCACCAAAGTAACTGCTTCCGCTATGGATTTACCTTCAATCTACCATCTCAACGCATTTAAAAACTGACATACATGCCCTGTGTGAAGAACTGACTCTTTATTCAGAAGTGGGAAAGTATGTTGTAAATGTACAGGCAGACTGTATGCACTGGTGTACATAAGTACCCTTCCCCGTATTTATTTGTCTAAAAAAGACTACAATCATGGACTGTCAATGTAACTTGTTAAACCATTTTCAGATTTGAAAATTTAAAGGAAAAACCTCTAAACACTGCATCACCGTTCAAAAAGTCTTCCTATAGGGTTCGGATGGCCATGTGAGCGGTGTAAGGTGCTAATTCCTGAAATTAATGCAATGTCTACCACTTAATCAGCTGTGCTGTGAAAAACTTCAATTTTTTTTTTCTTTCATAGATCAGCAGTTCGTTGTATATCTAAACTTGGTGTCCAAATCTTGTTATACCAAAGTGTATTTTTTTTTTTTTTTCCAGAACAGTAACACTTGAAAACTCAAAAGTACTGTAGGCTTTGAAGTACTAGTAGTTCAACCTAATGTTGCCATTTTATTTGGGCAATGCAAACTTTACCTTTTTGCCATCAGTGTTTTTAACAAAGTATACTGTCTGAAGATAATGGTAGTGTAGTTCAGTGGGTTTTCAACCCAGTTGTTGCACTCAAGAAGCTAGATTTTTGTCTATTCCCATAGGAAAAGATTTGGGAAAATTGCTACATGCTGGAGGTGGTGAGTCTTGATTTGGAAGGGGAACCACTAACGTAGATGAAAGATTAGACCCATTTTATATCCCAAACTCCGAGATCAAACGCTTTTGCTACAAGAAGGTATATAATCTCTTCCAGGTTGATCTCATCACAAATTGACTTCTGTTACTTCACTTTTTTTATTTTTATAATCAAAAGTGTGCATATTTGTAATATAGCCTGGTATTTATGTACATGCGTGTGTATTTACCCCAAATGTTTCATTGTGTGAACGGGGCATATTTTTTTTGTCACCAGGACACCGCAAAATGGTGTCATTGTATGAATTCCTTAAATTACTTACAAAATAGTTTTGTACCAGCAATAGAAGTCAGTGATTAAGTATTGTAAATAATTTGGCATTTACTGCATCATGAAGATGTGCAGATTGTTGGTTACAAGTTGTTTCCTGCTATGTTTTCTTAACATTTAGCAGGTGTTAGAGAATCTCAAACATTTCAACTCCAAAGCACTTTATGAAGAGGTTCTCATCGGGAGTGGTTCTCAAACCATCCTTGATGACAGCCAGTGGTCCTCCTATGTTAAGAATTCTCCTGAATTGATGGTGAACCCCATACCTCTGCTCAAACGTTTTGTTTATGGGAAATCTTGTCACTGTTGGCATGTGACAATAGGTCAAGGATAGGCATGATTTGTTTAGATTGAGCTAAAATAGGCATTTTTAATGGGCTTTGTAGTTATATTGAATACTAGACCAGCGAATGACAAGTAAATGTTAGTTTCCTTTGTGGAAATGTATGTGTTCTATTGGGACCAAGTGTGCAGGCATGAAATAACCAAACTGCTTTTCCAGCATATTGCAGTGACTTTAGATTTCTGGATCTTTCAAGAAATAAAAGAGAAACGTCTTCATGGCTACAAGTGCAGATATTTCACAACTATCTTAGTTGTGTTTTAAAGCTGTATTTATAACTAGAGTGCGTATTTAGTATTTCTTTTCAAACCCCATTCTGTAATTGTGTATATAATCTACTTTAGATGTGTGCCTTTTATGAATAGCAGTTGTCCCTTTATTTAACCAAACAGTTTGGTAATCCGTTATAAACGTCTTGCTGGTCACAGAATTGTCTCAAGCTTGTCTTAATCTGCCAACTGACGTATTCGTAGAAACCAATGAAAATGTGCTATAGTTGTATATCTGCTCTTTCTCTTGACCAAATGATTCTTTATCTTAAAATGTATATTTAAAAATTATCTAAACGAGGAAGACCATTTTTAAAACTGATAAAATGCCCAGGCTTACAGTGCCTTGTGTTAATTTGCGCCCCGGCCTTTATCCCGCATGCATTAAAACCACAAGCTTTGTGGGATGACTGTAGCACAGAGGTAGAGCTGTGTTTTAAGTGCTGCTGTGTCATATTTGCATGTTAATGTGTTTTAATAAGCTACATTGGGAAACCACCAGTAGATATTACCATTTTTTAAATTTTTTTTGTGTGTGTATGTGAATTGTTAAATTCATGAAATGTGTGGTGATCAGCACTTGAGGACTTTGTGCCAGAAATTGTAAAGTTTAATTTATTTTTTTTCCTTAATTTTTTTCATTTCTTTAAAAAACAAAACAAAAAAACACTGTCTGCACTTTCATGTGTCATATTGTATATATCTGTATATTGTATAGCATATACTGGTAGAATTGTGATTGTAAATTGTTTTGAAGATGTACAGATCTGTTAAGGGCAGTATTGCTGCTTTAAACAATAAAACTGCTGCATATCCGTTAATGTCATTTTCTTTTCTTTAGTAGACTGAGCTATAGAAACTGAATGTATGGGTGGGATATATGAGAGATGGGTAAAGACACTAGAAGATCTATTCACTAAATGCCAAAATTTACTACAGAAACTGCTGTTTGCATTTGCTTCAATTCTCTGTTAAGTTGCTAAAATTCCTCCAGTTCACTGTGACTTACCACCAAATGTTAAAGGAACACTATAGGGTCAGGTACACAAACATGTTAAAACCCCACAATGTACCCCCCTGGGCCAACTCGCATCTTCTCATAGAGATGAATTGAATCAATGTATCTCTATGAAGAAAGCTCAGTGTCACATGCAGAGGATGGAGACACTAAATGGCAGCGCTGCTCACTGTGCAGCACTGCCCCAGGAAGCACCTCTAGCAGCCAACTGAGCAGTGGCCCGTGGAGGTATCACTGTAATATAAACACTGCATTTTCTCTGGAAAGACAGTGTTTACTGTAAAAAGCTTAAAGGGATTGATCATACTCACCAGAACAAATGAAATGAGATGTAGTTCTGGTGACTAGTGACCCTTTAATAGATTTCAGAGACATACCATTGCTGGAGTGAGATTTAGCACAAATTGGCTTAGATTAATGGCAGTTGAATTTACTTGCTAGTAGACATTAAGATGTTTTGCTGGGTGTTTAGGCTTGCAGACTTATTCACTACAGGGATGATTGAATTCAATTTGGCTACTTTGGCCTTAAATTTGGAGTGCAAACTGGCTAAATTTTCAATTTGTGCTCCCAGCTTTGGCTACTTTACCCTTTCATTTGAAATCACTTTGAATGCCCAACAATGCTCACTTGAATAACCCTGTTAGTGTACCTTACAGAATTGAGGGGGGACTAGATGGCTTAAGGATATGAGGGCTTGGGTGTATGTGTGCAACTTACCTCGTATGTAGCCTGGGCAGTTGAATTAACTCAAAGGGCATTTAATTTTGTGTCTGAGATGGAGCTATACTCGTGCTATACCAATTCATGACAAGGATTGGGGTAGTGACTGGGAGAGAGCATTAAAAGGACACTCCCAGCAAGTCACTGTCCAGTACTCCTGGTATGGTGTGAACTGGAGGCTTGCATTGCCTCCACCACTTTAGCAGAAATGCTTGTTCTACAGCAGCCCAGTCTCCAACAATAAACTGCGTAAAATTATGTCGCAGGGATGTGGGACCTGGTTCCAAAAGACATTAGGGACTATATCCACTTAATTCCAAAGTGGTTATGATGCTCAATGTTCCATTTTAATTTTATATCAAACTGTTTTGGGAAGCCTAAAGTGGCTTTAGGACTTTTTTTTTTTTGGAGGAACAGTGGAATGTGGGTTTCAGTGTTCTTGGTGCAGTCTGATTATAGAATCCATATGTCTACTTTAAAGGGACACTGAAGGTACCCAGATCACTTTAGCAATGATGTACACTCCTTGCCAAACATACACACGAACTGTCATACAGTTTCAGAATACACAAAGTAATCCATACATAGATGCACAATGTTAGAAACAGGGCAAGTCTCAAAGTGGTGCTTGTCCCTTTAAGATTTTTTTTTAAAAAGATGTTTACCACTGTCCAACAGATCATCCTGCAGGTGTCACTGTAGAGCTAAGCAAGCTGTGTCAAACCACTTTGTTAAATGACACATTGCGAAGAACTAACCTTTTGGATAGAAGGCATGCATGATGGTAGTGGCTCTGAAACCAGATTGCATATTCTTAAATCTGGATTGTTTGTAATCCTTGAACTAGTTTGAGAAATGCTTCTTTAGATAATGTCTCATTATGTACCTGGTTAGTGGCAATATGAAGAATAAAATGACAATGTATAACCGCTTCAAAGGTCTGTGTTCATATTTATTTCAGTATTCAAATATGTAAATATGCGGGTGCACAACCACAAGATCCTCAAACATACATTGTGCTGGAGAAAAGGCTTGGAGAGGGTCATGACCGGGGCACTATAGACTACTATAGTGCAAGGAATACAACTTTGTATTCCTAGTCTATAGCTTCCCTTTAAGTAATTAAGAGTTGTTGGTTAACACTTCTCATTCACTAAATATTAAAGTTGTTTGGGGTGAGTTACAATACAATCATACTGTCTTATGTTGGTTTTTCAGATGCCCTCAATCAATGCAAGTGTTAAGAAGTATAGTCTTGCAGTCTAAACAGAGAGGATTATCTGCTAAAGTGTACATTGCTGGGAGTTTAATATCAATTTCACATAAGACTACAGAAGCAGAATTTTTAATTTCTATCCTAAGTCAGCCCAGTCTATTCCCTAAAGTGTGGATTGTGGGCAATTAAAGTTAATTTCGTAGCAGAACTGGAAGCCTCCTCAGCCTCAAATTTAAATCTAGTTTGAATTTAATTTGATTTCTCTGCAACTCCCATATTTGTGAACAACCCCAGCTATATATTCAGGTTGGGCACTTTGGAGTTTACTCTGAATTCATGACACACACTGAATAATCAATGCGTGTGTGCGAGTTTGTTCCTTACGGTTTGGTACACTGTCAGCTCAGCATCCCACTAAACCTTCAACCATTATTATTTATAAAGCTAATAAAAATGTAGCACGTTAAAAATTGTCCACCAAAAATATGTAGGAAAAACAAAGGGTAGAGCGATTTAAATTTTTTTTATTTTAAATACTATATTTAAAGCACTAAATTAAAATATATTAATCTATAAATAAAACTGATACTGCATTGTTGCTGTTAATGACAGAGCTAATGTTTTATTAAATATAATATTATGACATCTATAAAACAGACAACATAATTACAGATAAAGTATTTCACACCTCAATGATGCCACCAAATGGTCACTAACGTAACTACTCTGCAGAAATGTGCACCGTATCCACATGCCTAAATAGTTCCCATTCACTGATAAGTTTATCTCCTGTTAACTTGCTTGAATTTGCACTTCAGATTTACATATACTTTAGCATATGCTCGTTTTGGAACTACTCTTTTAAAAAAAAAATACAATTCTGTACAATTTAAAGGAATGCTATTCCTTTAATATGTTACATATGACCAAATTTCATGCACCACCAATAAGATTTCACTCCCCCTTTACCCCAAGAACAGCTTACAAACTCCATAACAGAACCAAACAATGACTTGTAATGGCAGAAGACATTAACCCCTAATTATGGTTAGTAGCCACTTAGTCACAAACACTGGCCAAATATGTGTTGTTTGCTTTCCCCCCCCCCACACCCCCACACAAAAACCAATATTAACACTAACTTTGGCCAGTGTTTGTGACTAAGTGGCTACTAAAAAATGACTGGACATACTCCACTTGCAATACCTTGGATTGTCTATTTTTGCAAATGGGATGCCATTATGGGGGTAATTCTAATTCCTGGGCTACCACACAGTCTCAAAGGTAACATTACTAATCTGGCAAATTTCAATGTGAAAGAAAAATGGAATGTGCTAAATTTCACCCTGTAACTTTCCAAAACACCGTAAAATCTGTTAAAGGGTGGTACTGTTCTACTCATGAGAATGAGACTTTGCTGAATACAAATATGAGCATTTTATGGCTTTAAAAGCTAAAAGTATTATGACATTACAGCTACAAATTTTAAAAAAAAAATTAACATTTTTTTTTCTCAGTTTTATTTTATTTTATTCATAATAAATTATGTTCCATATATGAATAGTTCATGAGAAATTAAAGCCCTGTTTCTCCTGAATAAAATATCTAATAAGTATGGGTGCATATAATATGAAAGAGGTGAATTACGGTTGAACAGACATATAGCACAAATTCCAGTTTTTGTTTACATTTTGTTTTGATCAGAACGTGCACTATTGACTCCGTCCTGAAGGGGTTAAAGGGATCACCATCAAGCCTGTGCTGAAAAAAATAAATAAATCAGTAAACACAAACAGGGCCGGAATGGGGGGGCGGGGCCGGGCCGCCGGGCCGTCCGGACGCACTGTACAGGGGCTCCAGCATTGCCGGAGAAGAAAGGCACAAAAAGCCGCCCCAGACCGCAAAGAAGTCGGATAACCCGACAATAACTGACAGGGGGCAACCTTAGCGCACCGTAGACGCCAGCACAACACAAGCCCGACGGGCAATGGAGGGCAAGCCCGGCCTACACGCGGCAGAGCACCTGACCGCGGCCACAACACGCGGCCTGTGATTACAGAGGGCCGCGGACCCGAAACACATATGCTGGAGAGAAACCGCATGGACGGTCCCATCAGCACCCCCGGCCCGGGGCGCGGCCCTGCCCCCCCCCCCGGCCGGTGGGGGTTATTCCGGCCGCATGGCGGTGACCCATACCACGACGGGAGTCCCTGCGTGGGGTGTGCAATACCTGCCTACACTGGCTAAAGCTGTGTGTGCAGCAGCAAGCCAGCAGCAACTGTCAACTACACGGAGGGAGAGCCCGAGGAAGGGAGCACACAGACCCCGAATAAGCGGAGGCTGCTCACTGCATGAACAACGGAGGAATAGCCCGCCAGCAGATAAGGGCGGACGGAAAGACGAGCACGGAAAAATCTACCTACATCTGAGTGGCAGCTTCTGTATGAGGTACGAGGGGCCCAGAAGGCTGCCGGCTCACGGACGGACACCCCAGACGACCTGCCCCCTGGTGACGATACTGGGCCCTGCATCTGGGTTTCTGGGTGGCCCGGAGAAGGATGTCCCTGGCGCAGTGAGCCCTGTGGGGCCAGAAGGCACTAAACCCCTCCGGTATACCGGTGGCCGCGAGGGAGGAGGCGCATCGGCTCTAAGTGTGAGGCCTGTACTGGGTGAGACGCGTGGGACCAGGTGTCACCGGGCAGCGCAAGTGATGCGGGGGAGGTGCAGGGGACAGCGGGTACTGGGACTTTTGTGGGGGGTCTCAGGGCCTGGCCTGGACCCCGAGTGCCCACGGCATCATGGAGCGCTCCGCAGGGGACTGAGTCCTGGAGGAGGACAGATGGACGACTGGCGTCCTAAAGGACCTCACCGACCCGGTATGCAGATAGCTTACCACTCTATAATTCAGCCCAACATACACCGCTGAAACTTCCGGGACTACTCCTATAAACATACTCATATGCAATTCTGGACACTTGAGAAGTCCCTCACATAAGCTTAGTTATACATAAAGATTGCTTAGGGGCTTTTATTCATGTTCATAGTTAATGTTTTTTCGATGCGAAAAGGGATAGCTCACACTAATGCCTTAACAGCTGCATTCAGTCCGTATCTACATTGGGTAAATGATGCTCCCTATGCTGACAGTTGAAAAAGTTATTGTAGCTTAGATTGTTACTAAAAGTCTGACTCTAATCAACTAGCTGATTAACTCACACGTATTACTGTAAACCTAATATCTAAATAGCTCTGTTACATACTAAGGCAGCAGACTGCAAACAAATATGCTCCAAATGCTGAAAATTGAAAAAGTTTTTGTACCTTAGATGGTTGCGTAATGCCTGACTATACTTAGCAAGCTGATTAATATGTCTCTACACAGGAGACAATGTGTACTCCTGTTATCTACTAAGGCAGCAGTCTGCAAACAAATATGCTCCTCATGCTGAAAATTGAAAGAGTATGTGTAACTTAGAATGTTGCTTCATGCCTGACACTACTTAGCATGCTGTTTAATATGCCTCTACAGGAGAGACAACGTGCATTCACCAACTAGCAAACACGCAGCACTGGCATACACCACTTAACATGAAACACTTACCTAACGCAATAACTGAACCAATAAGGCAACACGGTACATAAGAGCATACAACACAAAGCGACCACCAGTGAACAAAAACTCAGGTTAGGACAAATCAGCTTCTACGCAGGCAACTAAATGTATGAGCAATGTTAAACTGATATCTGAGCCCCTGCGTGGGCAATCACTTGCCTTACTACAAACCCATTTGATGTATGACTTTATATTGTGCACACAATAAAAATATTCAAAACAAACAGGGCCGGAATGGGATTGAAAAGCAGCCCTGGAAAAAAATTCTATACTAGCCCAGCATAGTGTGCAGATATGAAAGCGTTTCAAAAACAAAAAAAACCCTAAAACAAAAACAACCTGAAAACTATCATTCAGACGTGAAAGAGAGCACTCATAGGGCTTCAAAATAAACAAAAGAGCGTATTTATTGTAAGCAGACGTGCATTTGCATATAATCAATGTTTCAGTCCATTTTTTTGATATAAAGAAA